TGTAACTTTTTGTTACAATTAATAAAAGATTTTTTTTCACCACTTTAAAAATTTTTTTTCTTCTCTTTGTTGGATGATGAAGATAAAGATGAAGATGGAGATTAATTTGAAGGTTTGTTTTTCTTATTTTCTCTTTTATTGCTTATTAGTTTAGATTTATTTCCATGCTCGTAGTTAGATTTTATTATTTAAATAGCTAAGAGGCTAGAAACCTCTTGCCTTAGATTTATTTCATACTTATAGATTAGATTTATTTCATATCTTTATTTTCTCGCATTTAATTCTTATAATTTATTTTGTAGCTTAGTTTTCGTAATTTATTTTGTAGTTTAGATTTTATTTTCTTGTACTATTCACCTTGAGATTAGAACCCTCTCGGGTTTAGTTTTTCTTTTTGTTCATTTTTATTTTCTTTGATTCACCTTTAGGCTAGAACCCTCTAGGGAATCACCATTTTCCAAGAAGTGGATTCAATTCTAGATTACCCATATCTTTAATTGAATCCGTCATCTTTAATTTCTTGAATTTTCTTTTTATTCTTAATTCTCCTTTTTGATTCTTGATTTTATTCATCTTTCATTGTGAAAATCATCCATTCTTTGTCACATTCACTCATCACTCCTAATTGTCACACACACAACACAAAAACCGACTTTAATTTTCTCCTACAAAACACCTTCCTCGTGGGATCGATAATTTTTTATACTATAACTTGATTAGTTATGCACTTACAACTTTTTGGTATATGTTATGCCACATCAACTGTCATCCATACAATTTCTAATTCGTACGGAACGAGGGCGCCCCGCCGACCTTTTACACAAAGGAGGTAATATCAGTGGCTCGTCTTGTGTCTAATGTCGACTATCATATGGTGGACGAAAACACTATTTGTATGTTTGTTGATAGTTGTAAGTAGAATACCAAGCCGCGACGAACTCATAATGTGAAATCCTCGCACCACCTTGTAGATCAGAACAAGCCGCGACAACATATGAATAAGGAATCCATTGTAATTGTGATACATTGCAAGTTCACGTACATGTGTGATCCACTAACATGTTAACTTTGTAAGAGCGGCTTTCTTTATGTGATATTCCCTCAATGACCTCCCATTTATTAAAACTGTATCTTACGACATAAAAGGATCGAGCTTGCACAATTTGAGCCACTAGCATTTCATCATTCTTCGGTGTGAGCTCTGAGCGAATATTTTCACCAAGTTCGTGACGTCATAGAAAGAAGTTATTAAGTCTGTAAAATATTTTAGCAACTAGTGACTGTATTGGCATACCGCGTGCTCCCCTGAGCACGCCATTGAAACTCTCTGAAGCGTTCGTAGTCATCATACAGAACCATCTCCCGCCATCTTCACATAAAACCCACTTATCAACATTGTGTGGTCCCAAACTAGTTTCGATCCAATCATGTGCAGCTCGAGAAATAAACTTAATCCTCTCTCGTATTTGGTCATAAACTAATTTTTTTGTTGCACAGTCGGCTTACCAATGAAGATCTTGAACCTGATCGTTTCCATATTTCTTCTTCAAGTTGTCCCTAATATGTCGTAAGCAATAACGATGTGCATGTGGTGACGAAAAATGACGTTGGAGTGCTCTTGGAATTCCTTTCATCCTATCAGATATGAATGTAATCGGCCGCTCCCCCACACTAGGGATATGATATCTAATGCATGCAAAAAACCACGCCCAATTCTCTGTGTTTTCAACATCAACCACTGCAAACGCTAAAGAAAACAAACCGCCATCCGCGTCAACTCCGGTGGCAACAAGCAAAACGCCTTTGTACTTGCCGAATAAGTGGATGCCATCAATGCTAAGAAGAGGACGACAATATTGGAAACCCTCAATACAAGGCCCAAATACCCAAAATATACCCGTGAATCATCGTTCTTCACCATCAAGAGGGTCTAATGAAACTTCATATACAGTCCCAGGATTTTTTCTTTTGAGTGCTTCAAGATAATGCAGTAAGATTTCATAAGATTTGTCCTAATCCCCAAATATTTTTATCATCGACTTCCTCCTAGCATTCCAACACTTATTGTATGATACATCCAAATTGATCGCTTTATGCACTAAAAGACGAATATCTTTCGGCCGTAGATCAAGATCCTCCCTCGGATGCGGTAAAATCAATCGATATATAAAAGAAGGGGACACATGCTTGTTATTCATCTCCAATCGAGGATTGTTACATGTGTGCACTCCGTTGTACGCCGTGATTTTGAAATGCCCACCTACTCTTACACCCGAACGCGAATTAAGCTTCCAAGGACAATTCACATTCTTGTCATAGTGTCCACCAAGATCTTCGTCTTTACCATCTTTGCGATAAAAACAAACCGCATTATAGCTTCTTGTGTTATTTTTTGTTGGCCTAAACTTGATATTTTTTGCAATGGCATACGAACGAAGCGCATGTATCAATTTCTCCTTACTCTCATAAAGATCTCCCTTCACGAATGAGAATTCCTCGTCTTGTGTATCATGACCGCTATTAGTGCCAATAGGAATATTTTCCATCACAGAGTTATCAATCCATTCTTCTCCTTGAAGTTCATCGGGCGGCGGATCCTCTAAGACAACATACTCATTATTAGCATAACACCCGTCAATGTGGTGGTTATCCCCTTCATCACGATCTATCAAGGTCATGCTATTAATTTGTAAGCCCTCCTCTTCATTATCATTCTCAGATTCAACACTTGCATTATCTTCTTGAACTCCCGTGTTAGTATCGAAAACATTCGAAGTGCCCACAAACGAAGGACCGCTCATATATTGTGATTGTGTCTAACCTTCATCTTGTTGAGGAGATAAAAAGCCAACGGAATCAACATCAGTGTCCTCTAATATGCGGGAGTACATTCCGTCATAATTCAACGATTTGCCCAAATTCCTTTGATGTTTTTTAATGAACAATTCGATCGAACGCTTCTCGTCATGTAAGACTCCAATGAGACTCATATCATAGTCACTTGATATTTGAATGCCGCTTATCCTGTTCTCCACAATAGGATAATTACAAATAACATTGAGATGATACTCACGTGAGTTGGTTAATGTAAGTTTGTGTAATTCATTAACCAACTCATCGAAAGTACACGATTTTGTTATAAACAACGGTCTCGTCGCACCTCCTTCATAAACGGGCATATTATTTTCGAGGTAGTTAATCTTCCCATCATACGAACACAAAATTACGATTCGATCGTTCATCATTATCTCTGAAGAGTAAAACATTTAAGATCAATATTACACGAAAAGACTTTAAAAATTGATTGTTACTTACCATTAAATCCTATATCAATTTTAGAGAACTATAATTTTACCCAAATTCATATACCGATGTCATACATATGTAGTAATACTAATTTTTACATTTTTTATAATTTCACCTCCAAATCCACAAAATTATTTAATTTTTCTGAGCAAATTTCATAAATTATTCACAATGAAATTCTAAAATCTACATTCCGTCATACATATGTAGTAACACTAATTTTTATATTTTTTATAATTTCACCTCCAAATCCACAAAATTATTTAATTTTTCTTCACAAAATTCATAAATTATTCACAATGAAATTCTAAAATCTAATTGATGTCATACATATGTAGTAACACTAATTTTTATATTTTTTATAATTTCACCTCCAAATCCACAAAATTATTTAATTTTTCTTCACAAAATTCATAAATTATGCACAATGAAATTCTAAAATCTAATTGATGTCATACATATGTAGTAACACTAATTTTTATATTTTTTATAATTTTACCTCCAAATCCACAAAATTATTTAATTTTTCTTCACAAAATTTATAAATTATTCACAATGAAATTCTAAAATCTAATTGATGTCATACATATGTAGTAACACTAATTTTTATATTTTTTATAATTTCACCTCCAAATCCACAAAATTATTTAATTTTTCTGAGCAAATTTCATAAATTATTCACAATAAAATTTTAAAATCTAATTGATGTCATACATATGTAGTAACACTAATTTTTACATTATTGATAATTTCCCCTCTAAATCGACAAATTTATTTAAGTTTTCTTCACAAAATTCATAAATAATTCATAATGAAATTCTAAAATCTAATTTTTTACATGTAATCACCATGAAAATAGTGAGAAAATACAAGAAATTAAGAGAATATATTTTTTTTTCGAGGATTTTACCTTCAATCTGTCGAACTCCGGCGAAAATGGCGGTTCCGGCGGTCAGAAATGGAGGGAGGCGGTCGAAAATGGGGGGAGGCGGTCAGAAATGGTCTAGGGCGGCGGCGGTTGGGACGAGGGAGAGAGGGCTAGGGTTTGGGGTGGTGGCGTCAGAAATGAGATCGGGAAGGAGACGCCCGCGGTTATATATGGAGGCCGAAACTCCACGGGAGTTCAACTCCCGTGGGGTTGCAGTCTAAATTTCCCAAAGAGCGATTTTCTGGGAAATTTGGCCTATAACTCCACGGGAGTTGAACTCCCGTGGAGTTTTAATCCTCTAACAGACTTCATGGGAGTTGAACTCCTGTGAAGTCTGTTGTTTAAGTAAATATTCACGGGAGTTGAACTCCCGTGAAGATTTTTGAAGAAATTAAACTTCACGGGAGTTCAATTCCCGTGAAGTTTAAAAATATGCTAAACTTCACGGGAGTTGAACTCCCGTGAAGTTTCGAAATTTTTTTTTGCAGAAACCAACCTGGTTTCAGCGACATGGCTGAAACCAGGTCGGTTTTTCTAATTAACTAAGAAACCGGTCGTTTTTTGCAAATAAAAGTCCAAATAGTACTGTTTCAAAAATTTGTCCATTTATATGTACATTCATTAAACAAGCTAATATTTATGTCTATTTTTTTATGAATATATCCGATCCACATACCAATTTGCAACCCCTATTGATGGGCTTTTGAGTTGTTCATTAGGGGCCTATGTTGGGCCAAGCTGTTAATGGCGATTTGTTAATCACCACCTCATCCACTCCTCTTCCTCGAGGATAAAGATAAACCTCTCTCTAGAGCTTTTCCCTCTCTCTCTCTCTCTCGATCTCGATCTCGATTTCGCCATGGCAGCAGTCTCCTCACTTTCGACAACTTTCTCTCTCTTATCTCTCTCCTCGAACTCTCCCAACTCCAAACCCTCACTCTCTTTTTCTCTCCTCAGCTCCAAGCCCCGCTTCTCCCTTCAATCTCGCCCTCTCCCTTCTAGAACCTGCGCCGCTCCCGAGGCCATCGAGGCCCAAACCCTAGAACCGCCGACTGAAACCCTAGACGCTGGCTTCCAGGTTCGTTACTTTCTTTGCTTTGTCGTTTACCCCGCTTTTGTTTCTTGACATTGCTTGATGGCGATTTTGGGATTTCGTTTGTAGGGATCTGATGAGGCTTCCCCTCTCTCCGTTGGCGCCGATGCGGAAAAGGTATTACTTTTATTGCCTAAATTTGTCTGTAATGAATTGGCCATAGGATTGAGATATTGGCTATCGAAAGTTTATTTTTTTTATTCAGTTAAATTGTGTGAAAATGTGCTTGTTGTGATGATGTGCCTCGTCAACTTTGAGCCTCTCCTTCTGTGTCTGCTTGTTATTTTATGACATATTTTTGCAGTAACAAGTGATTTACAAGGATTTGCGTATTATCGGCCAAGGAATGTCATGCAACACCAAATATGTGGTATATGCAATGAGATATATACATTTTAACTGATTGTACTTTACATGCATTGTAAAGTACTTTACATTGGTAACAGAGATGGGATTATATGTTTATAAATAGTTGTGGGTGGAATTGGTAACAGAGATGCCCCCTTCTAAGATAAAAGGATTTTCGACAGAAGATAACAACCATTTTTTATAATAAAAAAATTTGATGCCTTTGGATTGTAAAATCTAGCTTGAGAGTTAGAAGGTGCATAAGGATAAACCTTTCGTTTTATGAACGATATAATGTAATGTCCTATCTGTGTGACACTATTGTGGATACTAGATAACAGGGAGGAAATAACGATGTAATATAACTTTAAAAAGAATAGGGTCTAGTATGCTATGGCACTCGAGTACATGAAGCTGGTCTTATTGCTTCATCATACATGGAAATTGTTAAGTCATGTAAACAAGCTTGTTGAAAGGAAATTGACTCCTGATGAAACAGCGCATAAAGGAATAGCATCAAGTAAACAATTTGGGGTAGATAAATTCTGTAGCTATAAATTATAAATTTGATTGACCGAATCATATTTAACGCTTTTAGGATTTCCTGTAGTAGGATCCTTGTCGATTTACATTTTGAATAACTCTTGATAAGGAAGGAATCAATTGGCACAATGGAAAAGTTATGAACGAGAAACTGGGCATCTTTGCAATGGAATAAAATATATTAGAAACAATGAGTGTTTGTGGAAGGAGTTAGGAGAAGGCTCCATTGAGAATACCAGAGAAATAAATAAATAGATTTGGACATTTGTAAAAGAGGCTGATGAGTGTATCAGTGGGAAGATTTACAAGATCTTACCTCTAATTGAAGAATAACACAGATGTATTCTAAACTTGAGGGAATAAAAGGATATGATGATTTACTAATTTAACACGTAGTGTGCCCTTAAATTGAGAATAAGTGAACACTATAGCTGGCCCAAACATTCAAGTAATCTAGTGACATGGATTTCAACCATTGAAGGAAAGTTAGCATAACAAGCCTTAAGGAATGTTTGGATTTCATTGAGGTAGGGGAAGTCAAGGGAAATTAAGGGAGAGAAGATAAGGGAATTCCCTTCCCCTATGTTCCACTTTTTTTTTTTTTGTTGGGGCCGGGCGGGTGGGTGGTGCGGGGCGGACTTTGTGTTGCTTGGGGGCTGAGACCTAGGGGGAGTTGCGGGGAACATTGGACCCTTAAAAGCTATCCAAATAGAGGTGAATAATCTCTCCTATTCCCTTCAATCTAAACATGCGCTTATTCAGTTTAATTTCTTATAAACTAAAGGAATCCCCCCCCCCCCAGTGAGATAGTGAGGGCCCACTCCAATATGGTAGTTGTTGGAGAAAGGTGGATGATCTTTGTGATTTGATTCCACATTTCGCTGCCAATAATGTGAAATGGATGCTATTGTAAAGGGGGAAGTGTGGTACTCTTATATGTTTCTGTGCACCATGATGTTGCTTCAGTCATTAAAATGTCTGGTCGCCTGGATTTCGAAAAAGGAATTGAATCTTAGTCAAGGATGTTATGCAGAGGATAAGAGAAGGAACTTATTAACGTGACTGATAAAATATAGGTTATATATCAAGTAAGAAATGGAAGTCTTAGTATACGCCTAAGTATTGATATGCATGTAGCATTCTCGTGAATCAATAAAAATTACAGCGTGTTGACAGTTCGTTGTTCCAGAATGAAATATAAGGTTGGAAGTCACCTTAGGGTGTTCCAAATTCTTAATCAACCATACACGCTGTACAAGGGGCTGAATATAGATATTTATCATATTAATAGGAGTTAGCTAAAATTTTGCTAGGAACTTAATAGATCTACTTAAGTTGAAGATGCTTATTCTTTTAATTTTGTGAGAATGGCATAATTGAGGTAGGCCCATTGTTTTTATCAATATCTCATTTGAGATGGTCTCACTTGTTTCTTCTCCAATTCTGGGAGCAGAAGTACTTCTTTAAGATGTAGTATACTTGAATATTATTTATAGCTCAAAAGGTTTTTAGTCACCAACTGTGAAAAAAAACATCTTGTATTTTTGTGTATTTGTTGTTATGGTCTCAAAGCACAAGTTCATGATGAACCTTAGAAACCCGTGACCTCCATTGTGTCCTTAATTACACATCACTATTTTGCTTACATTATGTGCCTTGTTGCAGTGGCGAATTTAGAAAGAAGTTTCTTGGAGGGGTGGACGACAAATATCTATTTATCAAAAATAAAATATAATATTATAAAACTATTGTACCTAATGGGAATACACTCAGTACACCTTATCAGTTTCATTGCATCAATTCTCATGAAAATTTCTTTTTATAATGACTACTTTTTACATGACCCAAAGTGAAGACCAAGCTATTAATCATACATTCATTTCACACGTTAGTGCATTTGAATTTTTGAATGAAATTAAAGAGATTACTTGACCAATGAAACTAATTTTGGAGTGAGCTCATAGAAGAACAAATGTTTATGTGTGATTCTATTAGTCCAACTAAACAATGTCAACTATTTAAACAGTCAAAAAGGAGAGGGAGAGGGAGAGGGAGGGTGAGAGAGAGAGAGAGACCGAGCGAGATAATTTCGTGAAGTAAACCCTACCCTAACTTCGTGAAAGGGACCCTAATGCTAGAGATGCTTTCATGAAATAGGCCCTAACTTAAGGGGGGTTCCTTGTGGTCCCATATGGGGTATAATTGGTTTTCCATTAATATTAATGGAAAAAATGGATGGAAATATGCATGGGTGGTTATATGCTGATGAAATGGAGCTTAGGGGTGGTTTTGGAAACTCGACTAATTAAGGGGGTAATGTGATAGAAGGCCTAACTTACATGTGGTTCCCTATTAAAAAAACCTTTAATTAATAACAAGAAATCATCACGACAAAACCATATGTGGAGCATTTATACTTTACCTCTTTGCGCACACTTCCTATGGGGTAAAACACTGCTAAATAAAATGAAAATGACCAACTGTTAATACAAACAATGCACAGTAGAAGCCATCTTGTGTCTAATGTACGAAAAATACACATAATAACTAAAACCAGACATGATGAATATTATTCTAGTAAACCAGTGACAAGTTGACCAACTAGTCAGTGAAAATATTACAAAAGGTGCTAGACAGATTAGGCATTTGAGCCAGCGCCTAGATGTCTAAACGTATAGACGTATGCCTAGGTGGCATTTAGGTGTTTGACTATTTTTAAATTATTTAATTATAATAATTGATAAAAATATGTATTAAATTCACATAAATTTGTCAAAAAAAAAAGATAGCAATTTTAAATATACAATAAACCATGTATACTTAAATGTTAAATAGCCAAAATAATAACTAATAAGGATATAGAAAGCGTTAGGGAGCCTAGACATTGGACCCGAAGCCTAAAGCCTAGGAGGGTTTCTTTTTTTATTTTTTAATTATAATAATTGATAGTATATGTCAATGTTATAGAAAGCTTAGGTGCCGGACTAGTATCTAGGCAGATTTCTTTCTTTATTTAAGTGGTGGTTAATGAAGTTTTGCTGAAGGTCGGAGGAGGTAGTGGAGATGTTTATATTTAGAGGTTAAAGGAGTTTGAAGGAAGTTGGACAATGTGAGGGGTTGCAATATAGAAAAACACGACCAATGCCTAAAGGGTGCAATCCACATAAGTAGACAATGCTCCCTTAACACTCCCAGACCTAGGTAGGTAGCATAGGTATCACCCAGGCGTGGTATCACCCAGGCGATAAGCGCTAGTTAGACGACCTAGGTATAGTCTAGACTTAGACATACATTTAAGCAGACTAGGCGGAGGTTTTTATATTATTTTGTCAGTGTGAGTGAATTTCAAAAAAATATGAGCTTGAAGGAGAAGCTAACAAATAGGGATCTAAGATTGATAGTAGAACCCAGCACCAAATTTTGGACTCTAGGGCAATTTCCCAAACCCAGCTACTATACTATAGCTCCTCTTTGTTACGGGTTCCAAAGCCATCTCCAGCCGATACATAACTGCCCTTGGAGATCTCAGACGCTGAGCTTTTGCCATGTATCTGAAGTTTCGCTGTAAGTAGTAGTTTATCAGCAACCTTATTTGATAACTGCTCTACTTCCAACAACAAATCTCTGATTCTTAGGAACTAGAAAATTTCTTTAACTTCGTCATACTATTTAATTTAATCTGATTCTGTTTTTCCTCCCTTTCTTTTTTCCCCCTTAACAGATGGCACCGAAGCAGAAAATAAGAATAAAACTAAGATCCTTCTGGGTACCATTAATTGAGGATTCATGCAAGCAAATCATGGATGCTGCCCGAACCACCAACGCCAAAACCATGGGTCCTGTTCCCCTTCCCACAAAGAAGCGGGTCTACTGTGTTCTTAAATCCCCCCACGTTCATAAGGATGCACGATTCCACTTTGAGATCCGTACTCATCAGCGATTGATCGATATTTTATATCCTACAGCCCAAACCATCGACTCATTGATGCAGCTCGATCTTCCTGCTGGTGTTGATGTCGAGGTCAAGCTCTAATCTTAAGGAAATGCGTAGCATTCATTATGTTGTTTTTATGAGTAGTTATGTAAGAAAAGTTTCTGTTGTGTTTTGTGTAACTAAGGAGGAACGAAGATTATTGGTACCAGACTCAAGGAATTTGGGTCTTTTTTGTTTCACTAGTATTACTTGTGAGATGAAGGATGATTGTGATAACTGATAATGCGTACACTTCTCTTGCCCCTGGAGTTTTATTTGGGTTGGCTGTTGAAAGCAGTAACAATCATTTGAAGGCCAATCTTGCAAGAAAATCCCATCATTGTGATATTGAAAGCTTTGTTTTATTTGCTTATTTGAAAGTTTATACTTATATGTGTTTACCAAAAGGAGACAGTATAATTTAAATTAATTGCGCTGAAACTTCAAGTAGACAGTATAATTTAAAAGAGTTGGGGTAGTCAAATACGCTACCTGCAACCCATGTAAGTTCTTGATTCTGCCATAGGAATTATCTACATTAAAATTGATTTTCATTTTTTCATCGGTAGCAGAAAGCCACCTTGATAGAGCTCTTGGCAACCGTGATGTTTTTACCGTTTTTGTTTTTTTTTAACAAAAACAAAGAAACGCGTTTAGCAACCGGGGCGTTTTTTTGACTTGTCCCTTTACAAAATCTAAAAATTAAACACTTTTTTTAAAACACCAAAAATGTGTTTTGAGATTCTGTTTTTTCATCTAAACCGCCACCCGTCCCGCCGCCACCCTCGGCCAACGCCCGTCGTCCGTCCGGCCACGACGCCACCCGCCCGTCGCGCGCACTGTCGCCCGCCGCTGCCGCTGCTCCCCGGCCCGCCCCGCCTGCCTGCAGCGGCACCCTCCACCCGCCGCCGCGCCACTGTCGCCACCGCCGTGCCGCCCGTCGTCGCCCGCCAGCACCGTCGGCGGCCGCCGGCCACCCTCCACCTGCCGCAGCCGGCCGCCAACCACCCTCCACCCGCTGCCAACCGCCACCGTCGCCCGCTCGTTAGGCCGCTTGCCCGCAAGCCTCGCCGACCGCCTGTCGCCTGCGTCCGTTGTGTCGCGCTAACGCCACCGCGCGCCACCTCCGTCGCCCCGCTCGCGCACGCCGCCCACCGCACCCGCGCCACCACGCCGCACCAGCCCATCGGCCACCGCTCGTCGCGGCCGCCGGCACCCTCACCGCGCCGCCACCACCGGCCACCGCTCTGCCCGCCTCGTCGCCACCCGCTTGGCCCCCCGCCGCCCGCCGCCACCACCGTCGCGCACCCTCGCCATCCCGTCGCCACTGCACCTGTTCGGCCACCTATCGGCCCGCTGCACCCGCCGTCGGCCACCCCGGCCACTCGCCACTACCCGGCTGCGTAGCGACAGTCGTTGGTTCGCCCCAGCGCCGACGGACCGACCGCTGCCACCCGCACCCGACCCGCCCCCGCCGCCCACTGCCGCTATATAAATGGTCAAACTAGTTTGATCAAAATGATGTTTTCAAAACACATTTGAAAAAGAAACACCATGGCATAGTGTTTTTTACAAAAAAAACAAAAAAAAAACACATTGATTACCAAACACCCTATACTTTTCACCGAGAAAGACCTCCCCCTGCTTTGTTTTAGGAAAATGATAGGGCCACACCTCCAATCACAACCTCAACCACACACCCTCTCATTTGCTACAGTACACCGGGCCTCACATTGGATTTTAAAAATTTAAAATCCCATGCGAGGCCCGGTGCACTGTAGCAAATGAGCGAGGGGGTATGGTTGATGTTGTGGTTGGGGGTGTGCCTCTATTGCCACCCTTAGTTTTACTCACACATGCGAAAAATTATGGTTTTATGATATTTTTTATGACATTTAGGTTTTTAGGAGTGTTTTTTGATAAAATTTTAAAGGGTGCTTTATGATATGCGATACTTTGAAAGCCATGGGTTCATGCATCTGAACTCCAATTATCAGCGCTGGGACGTAACACACTGTAGTAGGAAAGGATCAATAATCAATAAACTCGTACTTCTTTAATGGATAAGGTGCGCACATTGATAAATGGTATAACTTCCCAAGCGTCATCTCATACGTCACCGCCTCCTTTGGACGTTACCTATAGGAAAAAAGCATTTGGCTCGCGCGAGTTGCAACTCGCGTGAGACAAAACTTGCCGAACCACGTAAATTCTTTGTTCTTGTTGTGGTTGTGGTTTGCATATTGTTTGTGGTTTAGTTCGAGTTATTATTTGTGTTGCCCGAGAAAGCTTCCGCCGCGCACAACAATTGATATCAGAGCTAGATCGACAACATGGGAGATGCAAGCACGTCAGGTTCGTCTCTAACAAAGGCGATACAGAAACCGTGACGAACGATTGATGATTACTTTTTCTATTCCAGCTACTACAGCTATATTGACTCATTGTGGCATCGCTCGACTCACCTCAGTATGGATCGAACAGTGGCTGTACCTTAACAGAGAAATGAGAACCAAATGATAATTATAAGTCACATAAATATCAACTTAAATCAAATATTAATGAATAACTCTGTAGGGAATGCACATGCATGAGAGATTGAAGCCCCCCCCCCCAAAGAAAAAAAAAAAAAAAAAAAAAATCAAAGGTTAATGCAATCCATTTCCTTTGAAGGTCTTTTGACCCTTTCGGAGGGATGAGACCACGAGAGCTATTGGTTAATACCGTATTTATCCCTAAGGATTTCTTTTAAATCTGCATTCCGCCATTCCCTATACATATTCAGCATGTCATTAAGTAAGAAAAAACGAAGGGCATTTTCGTCAAAACGAGCCTAACTTGTCCACTGCCACATCTGCTCCCACTAGCGGGTCTTT